ACCAATATTAGCATAAAAGCTATAGTGACCTACTATATGGAGAGCTCAACCGAGATTATAGCCCAATAAGACTAGAGGTGGGCAACCCGCTCATGAACTGAGCTAAGGAGCTACTTCAACAAGCTGAACGAGTGAACGAACGCTCTATTAAAATGAACGGTAGCTCACCGGCTCACCACAGCAAAACAGAAGTGATAGCTGAACTAGTTCAACTAAGCGAGAGCGCAAATCGGAACTGAGCGAGAGCGTTTGATTGTTGTGCGACAGCTGAGCTAGAGCTATGTTGAGCATGCACTGATTGAACTGAGTGATGTGGACCCTACACGATTGCTTTTATTGACAATAATCGTATTGTCAATACATTCAATATTGACGTCAATACATCGGTATTGACAATATTTCTGTATTCACATCATCAATATTAATGTCAATAATTCCCCTTCGCGTCAATATATTGATACGTGTGGGGTTTGCTTGATGAGAGCGCGAACCAGAACTGAACGAGAGCATTTGATTGTGACAGCTGAGCTAGAGCTATGTAAATGATTGAACTGAATGAGAGCACGAACCGGAGCTGAACGAAAGCGGCTGATTGCTGCTGCTAGAACTACACGGAGAGAAAACAAATTTTTGCAGATGATGTTTATTTTTATTGATAATTGAAATAATTTAATATTATTTTTAGTTGATTCATCCTAAGATTGTATTATAGCTTTATTTTTTAAGCATTGTTCTTTTCTAACAACCTAAGCTTTGGTTATAACAATCTGTTTTTGTATGAGAATAACTTTGTCGATGATTGCATTCTACTCCCCTACATATCGAAGCAATTTGAATTTATGAATTGACTTCTACTATGAACGTCGTTTCAAATACAGACCAACTTTTTTTCCAGTTTGAATTTACGTCATATTTTATTTATTTAAAACTAGTTTTTTTCTCTCCGTGATAGTTGAACCGACTGGTGCTGACGGAAAATATCTGAGGTGGACCCTACACGATTGCTTTTATTGACAATAATCGTATTGTCAATACATTCTATATTGACATCAATACATCGAGATTGACAATATTTCTGAATTCACATCATCAATATTATTGTCAATAATTCCCCTTCGCGTCAATATATTGATGCGTGTGGGGTTTGCTTGAGTGCTATTTGATGAATGAACCAGATATGAAAAAAATGAATGTGACTGGCAGGAGAGCAAGAGCGTAAACTACCAACCAGCGCTGCCAGGTGTATACAAAAATTTATACACAAAAAGTGAGCTGCTGGTTTTAACTTCACCAAACCAGCATCATATTTAATATTGCGTTGTTTGATGCTGCTTCATGCAAAGAGTAGCCAAATTCTGGAACTATTTTTTAACTGGACATTGTTTACAAATTGATTCTATTATTGAAAACAAAAAAAAAAGGGTCTGGTATGGGGCAACCGCCTATTTGTAAAAAATTGCAATGATGTTGCATCACTGAAACTAACAAGCGTTTGTCTCTCACGCTCTCGTCCAGATTTTTCTTTGATATGTGATTTCTCGCGTCACTTTTCAAATAGACCAATGTAACAAATGTAAACAAATCGAGTTAAGCGTTACAAACTATTGCTCTTCTATCATTGTATGTGATACAAAAACATCCATCCAAATTTACTTTCATTTATTTAAAATAATCATTGATCAAAAATTGTCCAATGTACAGTTTGAAATGATGGGTACATGATTGTTACTTCGGTCATTCGGACTGCTTAACATGATTGGTGCTCATTTTCCAAAGGCGGGGCCAATCTAAAATTAGGTACTATACTCTGAAATCTGTGAAAGGGAATCTAGTATCATGTAGACAAAACGTCCAATGTAACACTGATTGATTATGTCATTGAGAAAAATCGTCCAATGTAACATGTCCGATGTACAACTCGACTTGTCAAAACGTCCTATGTGGTTTTTTCTATGTTGTAGCATGAAATTCAAATCAAAATTGTGATTTTACCGTTTCTTCTGAATTTTTAACGTTATTTTACACGGACTACATTAAAAATAGTATTGCAAAATGTATTGTTTTTAAACAGTTAAAATAATAATCTGTCGAACTTTCAACTTCGATTTTCTCAAAATGGTGGATATGTTACATTGGTCTATTTGAAAAGTGACGCGAGATTTCTAATATTCTGCAATGAAAGAACACCCATGACTGCAACCTCTTGGAGCCAGTTTTTCGTTTTTCTGCATTTCATTCAGTTCAATACTTATTTGCCAATTAATATTTTTAAAAGTGATTGTTTTCAACGTTGGAATTGCATTGATGCTGTTTGCAAAGTGGTAAGTCTATTATATGGTTTTCGTTGCTTGCTGTCAGCAATTTAAAACATTCGATGATTTCTTATTGTAGATTAAAATGCTGCCCCAAGGAAGGATCACCAGTGATATCTGGTACAATTTCAAAAAAAGAAGAAGTCAGAGGTATATACCGTCACTGCAAAGCCAGCATCGCTATGTCATCAGGATCTTCGGGAAATTTAAAGAGGCATATGAAAGGCAAACATCCATTCATCCCGCTGAACAGAGATGGAACACAGGAGCAACCGAAATCTTCAGCTACAACTGCTTGCACTGTCAACTCAAAAGACGTACAACCGCAACCCACTTGCCAGAACGTGAGTACTCAAAATCGAGAATCTGCTACAAAATCCGACACAGCTGTTACTGGATCGTCTTCAATTTCGATACCATCTGCCTCACAGACTTCGATGGCACGATTTGTCGAAGTAATCAAACCCATACCAATATAGAAAAGTAGACTCATTGACATTCAGCTCTTGAAAATGGTTTGCAAGGAGCTCCATCCGTTTTCAATTGTGGAGGATATGGAATTCAAGAAATTTGTGCAGAAAAACATTGTCCAATGGATTGTTGCCAGTTGTCTACAATGACTTGATGGAAAAGGTTAAAGCTGAGTTGATTGACGCTTCTGCAATTTGTTTAACCTGCGATAGTTGGACCAGCATTACCAACACCGGATTTTACGCACTTACCGCTCATTTCATTAACAAAAATGGTATTTTGACATCTTTCTTGCTGGAGTGCTCCGAGTTCATGCCAAGGCACACTGGTGAAAATATTGCGACATGCGTTACCAAAGTTCTTCGTTCGTTCGACGTCGAACACAAAATTACAGCAATTACAACCAGGGGTTGAAACAGTTGACGTTTTTTACTACACTCGCTTCGTTGTCGTGCGCGACAGTCTGTTTGTATTCGAACACTCATGCTCTACCGTCGTCTCTCTCACGCAACACGAGTGGGAGAATAACATTCGAGCTAAAAGAAAATTATCAAAATAGCTATCATATGACATGTGTGATTTCGTTGTAATTCCTCAATTTGGTGTAAATCAAACCATTTCTGATCAGAAATATTATTACTAGGACATCATTAAATACATACATACGTGACGGTCTTCGTCGACAGTGTCGTATGACAGAGCCTGTCAAATGACATTTTAGTTTGGTACTGTACTATGATAGCTTGTTTTGCAAGTGTCGGAGGCAAAGGCAGTCAATTATCACAGAAAATGTATCGGCTACCGTGACCGCTTACAAGACTGATTACAACTTATAACGCTTCGAATATGAAGTCGGCTGCAACTATTTTGCAAATGAGACACTTGGGATGTTTTGCTCATTCATTGAACCTCGTCGTACAGAATGCCATAGCGAATTCCATCAAAGCCACAGTCGATAAGTGCAAGGCGATTGTGCAATTTTTCAAGAAAAGCAGTAATGCTTCTTCAAATTTGCAAGAAATGCAGGTTAAACTCGGCAAAAAGGTTTCTAAATTCAAGCAGGATCTTCCGACCCGGTGGAACTCCTCATACGACATGTTGGAACGCATGTTACTTAACAAAGAAGCTGTAATTTCTACTCTGGCACTTCTGGACTCAACACGATGCACGTTGGAGAGTAATGACTGGGACATAATTCGGCAAAGCGTAAAAATTCTCGGCCTCTTTAATGAGGTTACGGTTGAGATTTCAGCGGAAAAATCAGTTTCGCTTTCTAAAAGCTTTCGGTTTCGCAGATGAGGGTAACTTCAACACGGCGTACCAAGATATTGTGGACAAAATACGGCAGAATATTGGAGCAATGGATGAAATTGAACAGGCCGAGCCACAACATTCTGTTGCTAAATCATCCATTTGGGAACAGTTCGATCACACAATCAGCAAATTGCACACAGAACAGGATCCTAAAGCTGCAAGCGTAATTGAATTGGATAAATTCTTGGCTTAGTCATATTTGCCCAGATCAGGTGATCCTCTAGTTTGGTGGGAATCTAGGAAACAGGTCTATCCGAAACTTTACTAGATAAAGGTGAAAAGACTATGTATTCCTGCGACATCGGTGCCGTGTGAACGGATCTTTTCCAAAGCAGGACAGCTAATTTGTGATAGGCGCAGTAGGCTGACGGCGAAAAATATTTCGCAAATTATGTTTGTGAATGTTAATCATTAATTGTTTTTCTTTTCTTTATTAAATAAATCTTGTATTAAAAGTAAAAAACCCTCATTTATTTCCAATAACATCTAATGCGGCATTGACACTACAGTCGGTGACACATAAAAGTTTTACAAATGAGCAAATGAACGGTTCAGGAGAACTAGCTCACTGTAATGAGCGGAACGGTTCAGAGGTGCTCACTTCAGTGAACCATTTTGCCCACCTCTAAATAAGACTACGGTTGGTAAATTATCGACAAAAAACGCCCAGTTCTATGGCAGCAACAAAGTAGATCAGCATCTGAGATTCGGTATAGACATTTTTGGCGACAATTCTTCCGGAAATTTCGAATAGTTTCAGAACCCACAAACAGCACCTCATTCCAGTTTACGAGTATGTATAATTCAGAGTCACATCGATGTAGTACACCTATATAATTCCATTTCATCGAAAAAAACACCTATCAGACATCTTAATATCACTAGTACTCCAAGCAGTGTTTCGATAAAGGTCTTATTGATGCTTCTTAAAGAAATTGTAAAATAAAAATATATTCGTATTATTTTATAATCAGAAAATTGATCATGGTTCATGTTTCTACCCCCCCAAGTTTAATGTCTAATTTGCATTTTTATTCAGGTTCAAGAATTTCTAATCTGTGCTATCTAAATTTATGTTAAAGCAGTAAAAACTAAATGTACAAAATAGGCTTGTAACGATTCGAAGAAATATCAATAACAGGATCCCTTTTGTGAGCTCATCAGTAAACATAGTGGGGGTATAATACGGCATTTTGTACAGCAACATTTATGCAATTTCTTTTGACTGGCCATTGTTTTAAGAAAAAAAAAATTAAATAATTTCACTTACCAAGAACCAACTCAATTGAACTGAAGTTAATAATAAAGGCAATTTTCTGCTCGCACCAATCAGGCTCGACACTAAATTTCTTACGTAATTTACGCTTAAATACAGTACAAAATAAATCAAACAAAACACGTTACTTAATTACGGATTGGAATACAGCCGTTTTATCGACAAATCTAGATGACGGGGGGTTTAAAAAAGTAAAAACCGAGACATCCTCATCTAGGTGGCACTTCGAGAATATATTTAGGTTTCCAGCAGTATTAGTAGTCGACTGTTTCTCTGCAATTGTGCTAGGTTAGGTATTTTGTTTTGTTTTGTTTCTTAAAGATTTCTTCTGCTGTCCACTGTGGCCAATTAACACATGATACAAACTTGCTCAAAAGTCAAGTTTCAATTAGAATCAGAATTTAATTTAACAACTAGGTATCCGGTAAGACACATATCCATTAGTTAGACGGGCACAATCCTCTTTTCTTTTCGTCAGTTGGTTGATATTCCAGGTTTTTTTTTAAGAATTAAGCTACATATATTTACAGAGTAGAAAATGGACAGGCAACAATAATAACAATAAGGTGAGTCTTTTCCCTGTGGGATATTTTAGATTTAGTTATGTGTGAAAGTATGACACTCTTAGTTCGAACACGAATTTCTACTAGTTTTTTTTTTGTAAAAAGAGCATGCCGCAATAAAATTCAGTGCATCTGTTGCCTTGAAGCATAGAAACGGTTTAGTACGTATACCAAAAAAAATGCAGCAAAAACATTTCCTCTGACGTTCAATAAGATTCAAAATATCTTTGCCTAACCTAAACTATAGGAGAGTGCATTGGATTTGCCATTATTTTTGTGTGCAGTGTTCTAAAATATTTGGTTTTTTTTCGGAAAATATTTCCTCTACACGAAACCTTTTTTTAACCTTCACAGTTGAGTTTTTGTTGGGAACTCACTTTTTTAGTGTTTCCCTTAGATGTGTTTGTTTTTTTTTTCTCTAAGTAGCTCCACAGCGCGTGCATGTACATACGTTGGACTGATGCAAAATTTGAAATTTAAGCTCCAAATTGCTAGAACGGTTCCGAATCCGGTCCTCATTAGCCTCCCAAAATTTGATCTAGTTTGGTTAGAAACTGACTGTGCACAAACCATTTGAAGTTTTTATGCGGATTCCTATGGGAAATACCATCGCCTTCTACTCTATTTCTATGTTGCTCTTGGAGAAAGGTCAATAGTTATTCCCGTAGGACATTTTCACAGCTTCAACTTTGCTGAAGACCGTCTTTTAGTCAAACAACAAATGAAATGGTTATTAATTATTTAAGAGATTGCTAATCTTATGACATGATCAAGCAGCTGCTTTGTGGACAACACTGTATTCTGCAGTGTGACATAGAAGTCATGATTTTGTGCTCTATTTCAAGCACCAGAAACACAGTTGATTCGGCACAGCTATTTTGAGTGTGTGATAAATATGGCGAAGAAAGCTATGGGCCTGCCTTAGCTCAGTCGGTAAAAGCGCAGCTACAAAGTAAGACCATGCTGGAGGTGGCTGGGTTCGAATCCCGATGAATTTTTCGGGTTGGAAAATTTCTCAACTTCCCTGGGCCAAAATTAATGCAAAAATGGTACAGGCATCGAAAGCTCTCAATTAATAACTGTGTGGAAATGCATCCAGAACACTAAGTTGAGAGCACGCAATAAGCTAGTATGCGATAAACAATAAGCTTGAAATACGAAAAAGATGTTAGAAAGATAAACGTGTGTTTTCCCTTAATAATACCCAAATAAATTTCAAATGGTTTGTGCACAGTCAGTGTTTAACTAAATGAGTTTGAAATTTTGAGAGGATGATCAGAACAGTTTGAGAACTGTGGAGCGATTATTTGAAATATTGCATCAGTCTATCGTACGCGTTTGCAATTAGGGATGTGTTTGCGTTGTCCTATATTTCAATTGATTAAATGGGTTCACCGTAGTATTGGGCGACAAGATCCTCGATATTTTCGATTAATTGCACAAATGTGGGCCGTTGGTGCGAGTCCAGATTGAAGCACGGCGCCATCAGCTGCTTCTGTACGTCCAGGTCGACTTCGTCGAGTTGCAGTCTGAAACGGAGATAGGGGACGATAGGCGATTAGGAACAGAAATAGGCGAGCCTTCTTAACAAATTGTAGGCGATTACCTGAGATTTTTGTTTATGATCAAGTCATACAGGTGTTCAGCTTGTTTGATCTCCACATTCGGGTAGGGCGTCTCACCGTACGTGAACATTTCGAACAGCGTCACGCCGAACGACCAGACATCCGATTGGAACGAATACTTTTGCGTGATCAACGTCTCCGGGGCGTACCACTTGATAGGCAGATCTCGATTACTCTGCGCTATGTAGTAGTTGCTTCCGTCGGTCACCTGTGCCAGTCCAAAGTCGGAGATCTTCACACAATCCATGCTCTTCACCAGAATATTTCGCGCCGCCAAGTCCCGATGGATGATTTTCCTCTCGAACAGATGATTCATGCCCTGAAAGCATCACAATATCAGCTTCATCAAAATTAAAAACAAAAATCAATGACCTACATCGGCAATGTCCTTGGCAAATCGCAACAGGATGGATTTGTTCAAAGCGTACCGATCGTAGCTCAGAAAGTCCAGCAGCGACCCTTTCTCCATGAACTCCATAATCACCACCAACTTGTCTATCTCGTCGATAAAGTCGATCAGCTTGACAATGTTTCGGTGGTTCAGCTTTTTCATGATGGAAACCTCCCGCTTGAAGTCCGTCACTGCCTTTTCCACGTCCGTCGGGCTGTTGATCGTCTTGAGGGCCACCTCCTTCGAGTACTTACCGTCATCGATGCACCCGCGATAGACCTTACCGTAGTGTCCTTGGCCCAGCTCTCCCTGGAATATCACCTTGGAGCCGTTGGCCAGCTCGATAAAGTCCGGACAATCGTACATGAACTTTTTGGCCTGTATCTGACCCCAACCGCTGTACGAACCGACACTGTACTGACTAGAACCGCCATTCGAGATGAGCGGTTGAGAGCTGCACTCACTCGAAGCGTTACTACCGGCGTCACCATCGCTACCGTTACTCACGTACGAAGAATTCGACACGTCCGTTCGAGAATTAAGGAAGGTTGAATCTAGCGATTGCGGAAGAAAAGCACGGACCGTTAAGCAGAATGTTATACACTTCATCGCAAAAATCTAACCTGTATTTATAGAATTAATACTATGATGCGAGTAAGAGCCATTGGCTGAATTCGTTGTTCCGTTACCAATAGTGGATACTTCACAGTAGACCTTCTTTTGTTCTGAAAATGGAAAATCACAGTGAGAAGATTGATCTTTACCTGTCAATCAAAACAGCTTCACATACTCGCTTGCACCAGTTTCGAAATGATCATTTGCGGAGCGAACCGCTTGTCCGGATCCACCATCCAACCGTAGTACATGCACTGGTAGATCTCCTTGACGAGTTCGCATTCCGGTGGTGCCTTCAACCGCCGACCAGAAGAAATGAATTCCTTTACATTCCTGGCCAATAACCGTTTGCCGCGGCTGAAGATCTCCCACAAGGTCGTCGAGCAGGCCCAAATGTCCGCTTTCAGATCACGTTTCAACAATTGCACCTCGTGTTGCCCCAGCTCGTGGTACTCCACCGGTATCCAGAACAGGTCTCTCTCTGTATACTGCTGTTGCTGGCGGAGTCCCGGATCTCCCAGCTTGGCTATCAGGCGGTTTTCATTCCGATCGTACGAAGTCACCAACATCGATGAGCACCGTATGCGACCGTGAACGAGGCCCTTTTCCTGCAGGTAATAGAGAGCACAAGCCAACGAATGGGCAGCATCAACCAGCGACGTGAACGCAACTTGTGGATGCCGTCGTAGGAACTCGTCCAGCGGTCCGTCTCGCGAACTTTCCATCACCATCGAGATCGGCTTGAACAGAGTCACGCCGTACAGTTTGATGATGTCTCTACAGTCAATGCTTGCCCAGAAGTCGGTCAACTGGAGAAAGTCCTGCTCGGAAGAATAATGGTTTCAAAAATTAGAGTTACACAATTAGTCCTTAGAAACTTACGCTCAAAAATTCATCCTTTTTATTGTTTTTCAACAACCGTAGCGTCACCTCCATTTTGGTATTATTCGGCAGCAACAGTTCAGCTCTGGTTCTCTCGAAGAATCCATCGCCTTCGTTCTTCAACGCATCTACGAAAATCGACAAAAAGCAATATTTCCATCAAATCCAATAAACCGATGAGCGATTGCGCGATCCCACTCACTTCTGTTGATCACCAGCTCCTTGGCCGCATTCACGATCTGCGGTCGCGCCTGTTGCATCTCGCCGGCTTCCGTCAGCAGCCGCTTGGAGATCATATCGTTCTGGGGCATGCACAGCAGTAGGTTCGGTGCTTTGTCGTATTCCGTTGGCGAGAGTCGATAGGGGTTGGGATGCAAACTTCGCAGCGCTTCGACCAGCTCGTCGTAGATGGTTTCCTTACCGGGGCCTCGCTCCACATGCCACCGATTTGCCGAGTAGGTGAGCTTATAAGTTTTCATTTGGTGTCTGCCGGGGTGATAAAATTACGTCAGATGAGAACATAAAACGAAATCGATAAAGATCGCCGGGCATGATGACTATCGCTTGGCAACACCGATGGTGGAGCCGTCGATCGATCGTCACCAGAGCTGGGTGTCGGGTACTTACTCGCGTTCCAGAATGTCGACGTAGTACGTGTCGTATGTTTTATCGCATTGACGTACGATGTTTGCACCGACGCTGCTATTCTTCTCCGCTATTTTACGGTAGGAGAACTTTCCTCTGAAAGCACATACAAGGGGTGAAGTCATAAATTTTGATTTACGATTTGGTTGAAAACTATGCATTGTATCGTCAATAGGTAGTTACTACGGTAGGAACGGTTTATGAATGGAGTGCAACGTCACGCAATTAATCCCCCTCTGACAGAGAGAGAGAGAGAGGAGAGAGAGCGAAGAGATTTAACTTAACAAAATGCCCCTCAGCTCAGGAACTTCCAAAGTCACACATTGTACGTGGTAGCCTGGTCGTACCGCTCACGTCGCGATCCCAAAGACTTCCGCCCAATATCCTCAACATGCTGCGTCAGCAAGGTGCTGGAAAGGATGGTCAACCAAAGACTGGTGCTCTATCATAGTCAGCACGATTTCCGCCCCGGACATGGAACTGGTACCTACTTCGCCACTCTGAACCAGGTTCTACGAGACGCTAACCAACATGTTAAGCTAGCCACATAAGACATTGCAAAGGCGAATCCTCCACTTTCTGAAGAACATCCTTCGGCCCCGCATATTCCAGGTGTGCATCGGTAACCACCGTTCAAGAAGCTTCCCTGAAGAGACTGGCGTCCCGCATTGATCAGTAATAACAATTACCCTCTTCTTGGTGTGGATGAACGGAGTTTTCCAAAGCCTTTCAAAGGGGATTTTCATTTTTCATCTTCCAGAGAAAAAAAAGTACCCTAAATTTAAGTTCTTTTTACTTAATGTTGGGTAATTTAGAGTTTTGCATCCCACTCTCACTTTTTGTTGTTGTCAAAAACGGAACGAGAGATTCGACTTTCTCATGACTATCGTTCAATAAGCTATTAGTGAGTATATGAGATATTCTCTAATTTGAGTCAATTGAACTTAATTTTGGGTAGAAAATACTCATGAGTAAGTCATTATTTTTGCCGTAGTCAAATGTAAACTACTATAAGCGGTTTACTCAAAATTAGCTTATTGAACGGAACATGGGAGATGAGTGAAAAGAACTTAAATTTGGGTAATTTTTCGGTTCCGTAGTACGCCGACGACCAGAGTGCTGCGTGCTGTCAACACTGTCAATTGACGTAAGATATTGATCTACACGGTAAAAAGTTATCACATCTACCCTAATAAAAAATAACCATAAACGAACGATAACCCAAATCATTGAACTATTCCACAAATGGTTTGGATGATACCCAGAACACGTCGTTAAGCAAATTAACCATACAATTTTTATTAGGGTAATCCAAATGCTCTTGCACTTGACTCAGTCTGTTGTGCGGCACTACCAATCGAAGTGATTTAACATTGATTTTCAAGTTATTTGCGTTTTGAAACAAAGTGATTTGTCGTTGAAAAATATGTACTATATAACATCTTTAAATCTTCTTCTTCTGCTTCTTTCCTTTATTTAACATCGGTCTCTGTTCCGCAATTTAGTGCCAATCACCGACGGACATCGATTGCCATCCATTGACGGCAACCGAATGTGCAGGAAGGCAGCTTTCACACCTGCCGTAGGATATCGCACCCATTCACAACACACATGGGCCGGGACCAACGGCTTTACTTCCCTTCCGAAGGAAGACGTGACCAGAGATTTTTATGCATAAGAAAAATCCCACCGACCTCGGCTGGGATTGAACCCAGACCCATCGGGGTGTTAGAAAGCAGTCACGGTTACCACTACACTACCGGCGCCGGCTTTTTTTAAATAAAAATGATTATCATTTGAATCGGCACCCCGGTTTAATAAATTTATTTTGATTAGTTCAGGCGTAACATTTGATAACGGCACAAAAGCTTTTGTAAACAAAAGTTGTAAGGCTCCTTACACGCGAACCGAAGAACGCCCACGTAAACCAACAACATCATCGAGTGGGAAACATTTTCCCCTTTTCGATAATTGTATTGCTTTACGTGGGCGTACTTTGGTTCGCGTGTAAAGAGCCTTACTACTTTTGTTTACAAAAGCTTTTGTGCCGTTATCAAATGTTATGCCTGAGTTTTGCTTTACAATTGGGTAGAGGAGAATTTTCCCTACCTGTTCATTATGTTGGTTTGCCTTTGCGGACTTCGGTTCGCGAGAAAATGGCCTTACAAGTTTTGTTTACAAAATGGAGTTAAAGCCATTTCAATTGTTGGTCTTGAAATGTCAAAACGCACATGACAAACATTACTCGCGAAGATGGCAAGTCAACAACAAATGCGCGAGAGAAGCGATAATTCTCCATCTCCACACTAAAACATAATTTGCGTTCTAGAGCGTGAGTAATACGAAATTGTTGCTGTAGTCAATAATAGTGTAGCATTGAGATAATTTCGATTACAATACAGTGTCAAACTTATCGAATTCCAGGTGGCTAGTCAAACTCAGATCTTCGACGACCATTACAACGAGGTGAAGAAGAACTGCCAAACGAGAATCGATTTACTAAGAACCCTGGCCAGGAGACACCTAACAAGTAGCCGCTTCGGCCGGATGCGTGTGGCCAAAGCGGTGGTCGATTCAAGGCTAACATACGGCATCGAACTGACTTGTCTGGTAGGTGATCGGATGATTTACAAACTGGCGTCAGTATACCATCAGGCCTTCACCCTGCCACCCCCGGGCTGACTGCCCTTTGATAAGTTCATCGTTGTAACCACATGCAAGAGAGCTGTTGACTTCGCAAAAAACTACTGAGACAGATGACGGAGGCTCTCTCCTCGTAGAGGCGGACAGACTCCTGAAGAACTCCACCGACCAGGAGCTCCTCCCTTTAGCCAGGATCCACTGGTTGGAACCTGCACGGAATATCTACCAATTTGTCGATCAAGAACAAGTTCCGCGTGGGAACAAACTCCACCGCACTTGTGAGATTAGTCATCGAAAGACAGCAAACCAAATATAAAAAAAAACCACCAGATAAGATGCACGCCACACTCAGCACATCCCACCGACTCCAGGATCCCTGCAGTATATTATCTGCAGAAGCAGCCGCTACCCGAGCAAAGTCGGTTAACAAAATGAAAGCAATTCGATATTAAAGTGTACAGTTCCTATCATAATGAAAACTCATTTTGATTTCAAATGTTGCGACATAAGTCTGATATCATATTGTGCTTTCATTATGCAGTCAAGACTTTTTAAATAAAAGCAACTTAACTTGAAGTTCTGCTGTTTACGTCTTGTTTAAAATTTAATTGAAATTCATCTGTCGTTGAACTAATGATTATTGTTTATTTGATTTGTTTAACACATTTTAGGTCATTCGTGACTTGCCCGGGGTGAGATTAGAGCCCAAGTCTTTCAGCTTGAGAAACATGAATGGTAACCATTTACTCCAGGTCCGTATTCAGTTGAACATTATGAATGCAAAATCAGTAATCAAATTGATTTCATTGAAAGCAGGGTTAGTTTTCCGTTTGCTTCAACAGTGTAAAATTTTGCTCTCATTTTTGCTGTGTTAACCGTTAAGTCAACCAAAATTAGATCAACTGGAGTATTCAAAATAAGTTACATCATAACAGCAAATTTTGATTTCAATTTGATCTTCAGCTTTGCTCGGGTATCCTCGCAGCTGTCACGGCTCCCGCCATTAAACCTATTGCCATCTTCTCCGATTCCGCCACCGCACTCCGTTCCGCCATGGCCGTCGCTCCCAACGAAACTACCTTTGTTTGGATCCCTGGGCACTGTAGAGTGAGAGGAAATGAGGAGGCTGCCCGAGCAAAGTCAGTTAACAAAATGCAAGCAAATCGATATTAAAGTTTGCAGTTCCTATCATTCAACAGTGTAAAATGTTGCTCTCATTTTTGCTGTGTTAACCGTTAAGTTAACCAAAATGAAATCAAATGGAGTATTCAAAATAAGTTACATCATACCAGCAAATTCTGATTTCAATTTGTTCTCTAACTTTGCTCGGGTGACCACCTCGCGGCTTCAGAAAAAACAGTCCAGTTTTAACACCACGAAGATCCCTGCCGAGGACCTAAAACAATGGTTTTTTATGACAATGTGGAACTGCTGCACCACGGAATGGTTTCAATCTAGCGATCCATTTATCCCGAAAATAAAAGGGAGCACCCGGAGATGGGACGACCCTTCACAGCATCGATATCAGGTTGTCCTAGCTCGGTTACGAACCTGACATACTAAAACCTCTCACAACAAGGGAGGTGGTGGTCCAGTATCGCTACGCTCTTCGGATTCCTGCGGGAGGCAGGACTGCTTAATTTAATCTGACTCAACGAACGACAAACCAGGATGAACCTCAACACCCTAACCACAGACAAACAGACATAACACTCATCATCCCATACTTCGCAAATAAGGTTTTAGTTGGGAATGTGCTTGCATTTGTCATGATGGCGCAAATGAAGCGTTAAGCAAGCCACTACATTTCGAACTTATCAGTAATTCCAGTTCTTTTTCAGGTTAATTTAGTATATGTCAGCTCTTGATAATGATAACACAGAGAACACAACAATCAATTCAAACCTAACGATTTCAAATTGGCTCACTACTTGACTAGCCTACTGGTTCCCAGCAATTCGATTAACGTACCCCATTCTAGTATAGATTCCAGTACTACACCATGTTATTTTTGATTCGCTATGAAAGTTTGACAGATAATATGAGGGGTTCGTGGATTTTCCAATGTTTCGAGGGGTGCATCGATTAGTTTGGGACCGAAGATAGTACCAGAGCTGAGCCAAAAAGTTGAGCACGTTTCTTCTGGTCTTAGAGTTACCTCTATGGAGAACAGTCGTCCAAGTTCGATCAGAAACTTGTGTAAAGTTAAGCAGAAACGTCGCCGTTACGTAGCGCTAGCATCTCCTGATTTCCTCTATAAAGTTATCACTTTCGACCAATTTGGCGCTAGTATCGATAAATTATCTGTTGAAAATTGCCACTTGGCGCTACCAGCACTTAGTGTCTAGTGTAAGTTTTGCAACGCCAGCGCCATCATGTTGTCAACGAGGGTTTTTAAGTGGGGAAGTCGCCGTTAGTGGCCCTTAAGTTGAATAGGAATCTTTACACAAGTT